GAAGTGTAATAGTCAGAGAGGTGAAAATATTTCATGATATTTAGTTTTTTGTCCACAGCAGGTGACTGAACATGACAACTAATGTTCCATCATCAGTTATTTTCTTAATTAGTTAATTTTCCCTATAAAATGTCCCTAAAAATGCAGATACAGTTTGTAGCATCGTACGGCCCAGTGAGGTGTCTTCATGTGTCTTGTTCTGTCAGAATAAAAGACCATTCACTTTACTGTGATGTATTATGTTTTGGAAAAATCCCCAAATCATCTCTTTTAAGTAAAGTTTTTGATGAACAGTAAATACAATGACTGTGTAATTATCAAAGTCGTTGGGGATTTATTTTCTGTCAGTTGACGATTGATTAATCAGTTAGTTTTTGCTGCGTTAGTTCTGAAACTTTGCTATAAAACGAAACACATATAAAGACTAATTTGAAGCTTAAACTGTTTGTCTTGCTGCAGAACCTTTAACTCGTTTTGAACACGGTTCATCTGTGCAGTAACATCACCGTATTTATATCAACAAAAATGTGAGATGAAGTTCTGCTGGCGGTGTGCAAGCCGAAGCATAATCCTGTACAGCAGCAGTATTGATCGCGGCTTCTTCTGTTTTTTTGTTAATGCTGGTGGCGAGCGTGCAGACTGGCTGTGACTCAGAGGGTTCACTTAAGTCCAAGCAGCAGGGATTTTGAAGGCAAAACTGCACGCATCTTTCCACGGACTTCACCGTGTTCACGCATTCACACGTCTCCATGTTTCTGGCCCGTCTCCATGATTCATTAACGTGTTCTAGTCGCGCAGTGACCAAAAAAAGATCACATCAAGTTTCACCCAAATGGTCAATTAAACAAACAAACTCACATCTGAGGATCTCACATTTTATTCTTTTCCTTGATAAACAAACAAGACCAGGTGACCTCTGCTCACACTTAGCAGGCGTCATCATTTTAGTTCAAGGGCAGAATTAAATACGAGTATTTCAAGTTTTTCTTTTTTTTTTTTGTCGTCGTCGTTCCTCCAAAACCAATTTGGAGTTTCGTCACGCTTCTGAAAATAGGAAACTAAACCATGCCACGCTCAGATTTACACGACAGCTTAATGAGCCTGTAGTTGCTCAACTCGTGAGAATTCGTGACCTAATATGGGTTCACAGGCTGGAAAGGGTTGAGAAGTACGTCTTATTGGTTCCCTGTCACGTATATGGTTTTATTGACATGTTTTATACATTTAATTTGAATGTATCCCAAAACTATGGACACACCTGTGTGATCACAGTCCAGCTTGGACGTAGGTGTCTTTATGTACACTAAACAGGGCTTTGTATATTATTATTATACTCTAATTTCTACATAATTTTTACATAATTTTTACATAAATTTTACATAATTACATAATTTTTCTTTGCACTGTTTTCTCAATTTGCACATTTTGTACAGTTGTTTTATTTATTTTATTTTATTCACCTATTTTTATTTGTAATTTTTTAAGTAGTATTTAACTTTGACTCTTTTTCTGTTGGGACTGGTGTTTTTCTCTTGCTGCTGTACCACAGTAATTTCCCAGACTGGGATAAATAAAGTATTTTTCTATTCTTCTTCTTCTTCTATTCTTCTAATACAAAATGATGACTGTTGTATTTTTTTTTTTACAAATTTCTCTCCTTAAATTAAACAGAACATTAAAAACTTAAGAGAAAGTACTTGAGTAATTAAATTAAAAGTGAAAGTAACTACATCATGTAACTAAAGTGGTCAAAATAAACATACTGGGTACGTCTGTGGGTCTTTACTGGTTTCTGCTCCATTATCCAGAACTGAGCTCATCACAAGCAGCAGCAGAGACAATCAGAGGGTCCATATGTTCTTAAATGCTTTTCATCTTTTTGCTTGTGTGTTTGTTTTTACAATTGTCATTTATAAGATCCACTTTATAGAAAAACCTCTTCTGCAGAAGGAACTCTGTTGTATTATTTTTAAAAAATGCATCATGAATCCCGACAGTAGCGCGTTCTCGCCATAAGGCTTATCCCATCGTTATTGAACAGGGAGCTTGATCAATAAGGCTGAGTCTCGTCGGTGTCCGGGATAATAAGTGTATTATCTGAAACAGGTCCGGCAATCTGTCGCTCAGCGCGTCGCTCATGTCTCACATTGTGGGGAAACCATATTGATTTTAATCATTCTTAGACTTAAAAGTGTAAAAAAAATATAGTTGTGTTTAGTGTCTAGTGCAAATAGTACGCAACTGGTTGAATCTATTACTTGGATCAAGAACAGAAAAAGAGTTTTGTTTGTATATAGTGTACATATAGAATAGAATAGATTAGAATAGAATAGAATAGAATTGTATGTCCATATGTGCATACACTGTTTTACATTTGCAATCAGTACATTTAAATATAAATACTGTAGATTATTCTCTGTTTTTTCAACATTAATCTAATTACTGTAGTTTTTATTTTTGCTTTTTGTTTGCCTGTTTTTTATTATTCTTCCGTTCCATCATAAATTAGCTGTAGAATAGCAACTGAAGCCGTATTAGTCTCATCAGTGAAACGTCAAGCTTGTATGTATATTCTCAGTTACGCATTGTTCACTGAAAACGGTCGGCAGGAATAATTGTGCTCCACTGACCTAAGAGAGGTTGTTTACAAATTCTGATAATACCCAGCGGATAAGTAAAGGGACTCAAAGACAAAGGTTAGCGCTTGTCTTAGGGAAGGTTGGAGATTTACTCATTCTAGCATTAACTGACTACTCGTGTCAACCACCTCTACACCCAATCAAGTCTTCTTTCTTCAGAGTTGTTCTTCACTCTGGATGGAGCGAGACGGCACTGACGTATTTACCCATGAACTGAATTATTCTAGTTTTTGTTTAGTTTTTTGTTTGATTACTCTCATCAAACTCCGTTTTTCCATTAGCATTAGAATAAGGCAAAAAGACATGTTACACAGTTCTTGGTGAAACATCAAGGATGTATGTATATATATAAATATATAGTTAGTGTCGTAATATTTAGTGAATAGTTGTCACTGACCTATACCTATACTGACCTATATTATCTTGTTTCTAAATTCTGTTTAAAATACCCTCAGGATAAGGAAGAGGCTTAATACACGGAGGTTAGAGGTTAGAGGTTATTTGAGTAAAGGTTTTTATAAGACTCGCTAATTCTTACATGATCTGAGAGCCCTCGTCACATGTTTTTTCATCCATTCAAGTTTTCTCTGAGCTTGTCGTCTTTCTTTACGACTGTTTTTCCCTCTGGATACGCGTTCGTTTTTACATGACATTTCACAGGCTCTCGAGATCTTAATCTGTGACATCGCCACTGTTTGTGGCACGTCAAGGATTTGTGGAGTGTAAGATTAGAGCCCTACGTCGTCATAAATCTCTGCTTCCCAATTTGGCCAGGTGGTGGCGGGTGGGGCAGCTGTGAGGTGTCTTCTGTGGTGTCTAGATTTGCTGGGTAGAACGTTTGAGCATCTATGGACGGTGAACTTCATGGTGAAGTTTTTAGGAACCTGGACACATTATCTCACGTGGCTTGATGCTCAGGGTTTAGAACCTGCTACGATTTTGCTTTTTTGAGGACCGACAGTTCTCAGAGTTGACCCAGAATTTTTTATGGTGCCCTGCTGTGGTCGTCCATGATGAACTACTGCATACCAGACATGTATGAGATGCCTCATGCTGGCGTTGGAGGCTACCCGGTGCCGGGCGGTGGGGAACACTGCATGTACCCAGGTGAGGGACCCGGCTATGGACCCTGTGAACCCCAGCCTCTGCACCATCCCCCCTGCATGGAGCAGGCTTGGCCCCCCAGCCAGCACTACTCGTGCTCGTATCCTGCCGGTCCTCCTGTTTTTAAGAGCGAGTTTTGCAGCATGGAGATCCCTCTCAGTCATTTCCACCATCAGCCTCAGTATTACCCTGAGATCAAACCTGACTTTTCACACCTGCAGTGGATGCAGGGAGCTCACAAGAGAGGTATGACACCTGGACTGTGACTGTTTACATGCTTTGGTTAGAGGGTATTAGTGATTGGATGGATTTGCATGTATACGTTTAAACTGACTGAAGTTGTTGTTTTGTGATCGTCTCTTTGGAGTGAGTGTGAAGAACATCTCTCATGTTTCTCTATTGTTTTTTTTATTTTTTTTAAGTATATCTCTTTTTGGTAATTAGTGATGACTCCTCCTTGATCAATGAATCAATGATGTCTGGGATTTTCGAATTAAGTCTGATAAATGATAATCCACGACTTAAGGCGTCATGTGGCGGCAGGTCTGTGAGCAGGACTTGTTGCATCTGATGTGCAGAGTGTTTGACTGAGGCGGGCAGGCGGGCGGGCGGGGGTTCCTTATTGATTGATGGTGAGGCAACAGAAGGCTAATTCAACATGAATGATGATGCTTTCTTAACAAACCCCAAAAAAGATATTGATCATTTTGCTGACCTCCGGTCCTGGAGCCTACCAGAGGTCAGGGCATCAAACTAATTAGGTTGAATCCCAAAATTAGGCCTGGTGTTGTCTCATTGAGTTAACTGGAGGCAACAGTGCCATCTGTGGAAGTTCGTGGAAATCAAATATTAGGTGTCGTACCGGACATGTGTGAGTCAACCTACTTTTATAATTAAATCTGATTGTGTGACTTTCCAGTGCAGCAGAGTTTATATACGGGGACACACTTGGATAATAAATATTAACACAAAGGAGCAGATGACTCACGTTTCTTGAGCGTGCAAGTTTCCCTGTTATGACAAAGAATTGAAGCAGGACAGTCCACATGCATTTTAATAAAAAACTCACCTTACAAAAATATAAAAATGTGATACTTAGATTAGAAAAATTCATCTTCAGTTAAGGTCAAAATAACCTAAAATCTATTCAAAACCTGAGAAACATTTTTAACCAAAGGATTTATGAAAACATGGTTTAATTAAATATGCAATATTCTTGTTCTTACATAAATAACAACCATTTGTCCTTCTCTCCAGGGTACATACCAAGTTACCTGGACAAGGATGAGCTATGTGTAGTGTGCGGGGACAAAGCCACAGGCTATCACTATCGCTGCATCACCTGTGAAGGTTGCAAGGTAACGAACAGGGCGAGTAGCAGCAGCTTTATTCAGTCTTCCATTATTCGCCAGCAGCTCTGATCATATGAAGGTCTGCTCTCCAGGGGTTCTTCAGGCGGACAATCCAGAAGAACCTCAACCCAACCTACGCCTGTAAGTACGAGGGGAAATGCGTCATCGACAAAGTGACCAGAAACCAGTGCCAGGAATGTCGCTTCAAGAAGTGCATTGCGGTGGGAATGGCAACCGACTGTAAGTTTTATAGGTCAGGATGGCCTTAGGAGCATGATGCTTCAGACAAAATGATTCAGTCTTCTCAGTTTTTTAACGTTTTGTTTGGTTTTTTTGCCTTCTTTTAGTTTTTTCTTAAGTCTATCCAGGAATTGCAGCTGAAAATCAGCATTTAGGTCAATATGGCAGCAAAAACAAGCAAATTATTTTTTAAAATTTGATCGCCAACAACTAATTCACTTCAATTCAATTCAGTTTTATTTGTATAGCGCATATTTACAACAAGTCATCTCATAGCGCTTCACAAAGGCAGAGACAGAAACAGATCAGATAATGATTTCCAAACAAAAAATGTTAAATATTTAACAAGATTATTTTTTTATTTTTGGTCAGAAGCACTGTTAGAGCATCTCTGCCATTCTGACGTTTTATATAGAAAACTGTGAATCTGTAAATGGAGAAAATAATCAGTAAATTAAAGAACTGCTGTTTGAAAACGGATGAACAGCAGAGAGATGGAAAATCCTTCAGGGATGGTTTCTGTGGATATTTTAATGCCTTTCTCACCATCAACACTTGTCATCTTTGGAATCGTTTGTAACTGAAACGAATCGAGACCAGTCGCAGAGGAAAGTAGCTCCATAAGACGCCTGCAGTGAGTGTTTAAGACTCCACATATAGACTGTGGATGAATATCAATCCTTCTCTGATGGCTTTGGCCAGTTCAAACAGTTCAAAGTGAGCCAAGCAATTTGAACTGGAAGTAATCCCTTGTATTTACAGTGTGCTTACAGTGTGGTGCTACATGTAAAGTGTCACCTAAATTGGATTCCCTGCTGTTTCCAAGAACATAATTGAAACACCTTTGCTTTTCAGTTGAACCTGTTTTCAGTTCATCATTTCATGCCCCCTTGCCTTTCCTTCTCCCTCCCATCCACTCTCTTTTCTACTTTTCTGCCCCTGCCCTGCCGTCCCCCCTCTTCCGCCCCAGTGGTGTTAGACGACAGCAAGAGGCTGGCCAAGCGGAAGCTAATCGAGGAAAATCGGGAGCGCCGTCGGAGGGAGGAACTGCAGAAGACGGTGTGGGACCGACTGGAGCCCACCCAGGAGGAGTGGGACCTCATCCGTATGGTGACTGATGCCCATATGGCCACGAACGCCCAGGGCAACCACTGGAAGCAGAAGCGAAAATTCCTGGTGAGACATCCTCCTCCCTCCTCACCACGGCCTCCATTGTATTGATGCCTTATCCAAACCCCCCCCCCCATCCCTCCCATCCCTCCCATCCCTCCCACCCAGCCCCCTCCCAGTCATGTCCTTGTCTCCTTCACTTCCACCTCGACCACTGTTCCACAGTTCCCTATGTTAATATGTCCATGTGTTTTTTTGTATCTCCTTGTAGAGTGGAGAGAATTAGCTGGACGATGGAGAAAAGTGTTCCTCAGCGCAGCAGCACTAATTTATATTGGAACATCTTGTCGTTTTTTTATGTCTCGCCACCGATGATCTTAAACTGCTAATACTAATAACTTGCTTTTTTCGTGCCGTTTCATTTTTCTCTCTTTCTGTTTGTAGCCTTTGATTTCATATTTCACCCCTTTTTTAACAGATTTTGCTTTTTTCTTTTCTGTTCAGTCTAATCGCTCTGTCCAGATTGAAAATCTGTCAGTTGTTGAATTTATTTTGGGTTTCTATGGCACGATTCAACAGAACACTCGTTAAGGCAGAAAACTGTTTAACCGTAGAGGAGCAGAAATGAGGAAACTAAGATAATTTTATATAAGATTTGAATTTGTTGGATATTTTGATGACACGGGGGAGGCTCTGGGAATCTTTGGAGAAAGGCGTTATAAGGACACGGTGTGATCTGTGGCTTCCATCATCTCTTGTGGTGGTTCCACCGGAAAAATTCAATCCAAAATAATGTTTTAATGTTTATAAAATGGGATGCAAATTTAGATTGACTGAAGTGTAGCCGTGGGGCTTTCTCTAAATTGTCAACCATTACAGTAAAATATTGAATTTTGTCGTCTAAGTGTTTCTGAGGACCTGTTTGAAGCCACGGTCCTGAATCTCACCATAGAAACTCATCTGGGATTTCTGTCCTCACCTGTTTTCTATCTGCACACTTTCATCTGTCTTCAGTTTTAACCTGTTTTCTTTTTAGTTGGCTTGACACGAGTTCTTCATTGAAACTTCACGATTCCTGTTGATTATCCAACAGGTCGAGGAAGCAATGCTTCTTAATGAAATAACATGTAATTTATTCTATACTTCTGACCAGAGTGCAGCGGGGGTGAAGGAAGCTAAGGTACGAAGCCACAAACACTCGTTCGTATTAATAAGATCAATTGTCTTTGTGCTTTGGCCCGATACAGTGTTAAGTTTTAAAACACAGTAATTTATAGTCATTTATATGCAAAACACATGAAGTTTAAACCAACAGTACTTTACTGCTACACTTATATAGTTATTCGTCCCCATTTATGAAGCACATGAATTCTTTATACTACTCATCTTTACCTTGTTTCATATGTAGTTCTTGGTTTTTGTATTTTTATGTAAGCATGGAGACTCTTGGAACATTGACCTTCTCTCCTTGTTGTTTCAGCCAGAGGAAATTGGTCAAGCATCCGTGGTCAATGCACCTGAAGGAAACAAAGTGGATATAGAAGCATTCAGTCAGTTTACAAAAATTATCACCCCTGCCATAACCCGAGTGGTGGACTTTGCCAAAAAACTGCCTATGTTTTGTGAGGTAAGAGCAGTTGCTTTTTCCATAAAGTTTCACAGAATGTAGATAGAAAATAGGGAGTTTCTAATGTGAATGTGAGTGTGCTTGGTTGTCCCCTGCCTTCGCCCTGAGTCAGCTGGGATGGAAGGATGGATGGATGGATGGATGGATGGATGGATGGATGGATGGATGGAGTTCCAAATGTTTCTTCTGCTGGCCACAGTTCAGATCTGCAGCCAACATTAGCTTATCAGAAACATCTACAACTGTGTGGATGTCAAACAGAAACTTAAGCTTGCGTTAGAAAACTTGGTAAATGTTTGAGGTCATTGGGAAGAAGAAGAGAGCACACAGAACAGTTGATAAAAGTAGAAAGCACACAAATAAAGCAGGAAGCAAAAAAACATAAAACTTAAATGAAATCAGGAAAAGCTCTCCGATAGAAATGTGTTTTAAGAAGTGACTTAAAAGAGAATCAACAGAATCAATGTCATTTACTGCTAATAATTTTTAGCCACATCTTCAAGCTCACAGTTAGAGTCTTGGGGTGATGTACTGCACATCTTACTGGTATTGTTCAGTAGAGATCTGACTAGTTAGCTCAGGATATCCGAGCTGCTTCTTCCTGCTGGATTTCAGAGCAGAAATGTGCTTCCAAGTTCAAAGGTCTTTGTTTTTATCTGTGATTTGAAGTGTGTTCAGCTCTCCACTGTTTCAAACAGACAAGATGAAATGTTCAGATAAAGCTGTTCATATGGTTGTTAGATGTTCTGTGTGAGCTCCATCAGCTGTCTTCCACCAGTGCTGACATCTGTCTTCATTTATCCAGCTGCCTTGTGAAGACCAGATCATCCTGTTGAAAGGTTGTTGCATGGAAATCATGTCGCTGCGAGCTGCTGTCCGCTACGATCCAGAAAGTGAGACGCTTACACTCAACGGTGAGATGGCAGTCACTCGAGGACAGCTTAAGAACGGAGGACTGGGGGTAGTGTCAGACGCCATTTTCGATCTTGGCGTGTCGCTGTCCTCGTTTAACTTGGATGACTCTGAGGTGGCTCTACTGCAAGCTGTCATCCTGCTCTCATCTGGTAAGCCCCTGCTGTCCAGACTCTCAACACGCATAAGTTGATTAAGGGTGTTTTGTTTTTCTTATTTTAGTTTCTGTATTATTAGCATATTCCTTATGGTACTACGGCCATTTACGCTTTCGAGTATTGGTTCAAAGACAACAGAACTTTATGGAAGTGAGTGGGTTACACTTTTTTTAAGAAAGCAGTAAACTTCTACAGATTTTTGTGACCAGTGAAGATCATCATACAAAACAACCAGAGTCCATCCATAAACACCAAATGCCTTGTTGCCTCAAAGGCAACGTTCTGAGCAAGTTTGAGCAGCTAGTGTGGTTTTGGTTCCACCATCATTTTTCTGTGTGACGTTCTGCATGTGTTTGAAGATCAGTTCTGTTCTGCTTCTGTGTCGTACAGACATGACATGAGTCCCGTCTGTCCTGTCATCTAAAACACTTACAGTATCCCATAGGAATTAATTAAGCTGAATATTTTTGGACAGAAAGTTGGTATTTTGTGTTTTTTCACCATGTGTGAATTTGGCTTTTATTTTTTTTTTTTTTTGCCGAAGCATTTGACCTGAAGAGAACAAAAGCAAAGTATCCTCATGCACGCCCAAAGAAATAATATCTGGCATTGTATTCATGTCAAGCATGATATTCATCTACCGAGCCATTGAGCTGGGGAAACAGTACAGGTACATAGTTATTGCTGGATGGATGGATCTTCTTTTACAAATCAAGCCACACTTCTCTTTAAAAGTAGTTTTTGTTTGGCTACAAAACATCTGACTAACAGGTTCCTGCACCATCAATGGTTCCCATTAGAAAGATTTATAACCCTCTGAACCCAAAGAGTCTCTTTGCTTTCTGTCACATTTCTACTCACTGTGGGCTCATTTTTCACTGAAGTCCTGCACATCTATAGAAACGACAAAACCACGACTGGAAGGAGAGAGAACTCAGAAATGTTTTCTTCTCAGTGTAACAGTAATGATGCCATATTTTTATTTTATTTTTATTTTTTTTTAAAGGGGAAAAAACAAAACTTCAAATTCTTTGATTAAATATTTTACAACAGTTGTAAAAACTATTCAACATTTTTCCAAGTGCTCACATGTGTGACTAATACTGGTTAAAATGTTGGCTGTATATACTGTAGATGTTTTATTGCAAAACTTTTAATCTGTTTTCATGCTTGTTTCCTCTCCACTGTACAAACACAGTCTGCCTTCCAGTCAGATAGTTTGGGGATTTTTGTCAGCTGAGTCATGAACAGATTCTCAGCTCGGCCGAAGAGTTTCTTTGTTTTTTACAGTCTGGTTAAAGCAAACAGTCCTTTTTGGGATTTTTCTTTTAAATGAGATGTGTAGAGTAAAAGGATTTTAACAAAATCTCCTGATTTTTAGCGAACATTTGGTTGTTTTCTAACAGAAAAACACATTGCAATGCAGGTCAATAGCATTCAGGCACTTTGAAGCTTTATTTTTACTCAGTGACTGGGGCCAAACAGTTCCAGTCATCATAATTAGAATTAATTGAGAAGTTTTGCTATGACAAATTCTGATCTGTAGAACAATGTGGATTTAGTCTGTTTAAAACATGGTGCCTCCATCCTGCTGTCACCAAGAACTCACTAATGAAGAAACTGTTTGTTTCTACATCACTGTGAGGTCTTACTTTGTAATGTTATTTAAGGGGACAGTAAAACATAGGAAAATGAAAACAGGCTGACTTGTCTGAGCTTGTGAGACTGTGGACGCCTTCACTTTAAATTTTAAGTCCTTTTATTACTTAAAAAAGACTAAAAGCTTGAAATCAATTATGGGTCCTTTTGCACTATTATTAACTACCAGTTTGTTGTTCTGTTGCTGAGGTGTTGACATCTTAAAAAGGTTTAGTTCTGGAATTATGATGCTTTGTGCTTTATAGCAATGTATAGTTTTATTCCTGATGGGCCGATGTCACCCAAACGTTATCGGCCCATTAAACAACCCATCATCAGCCCATTAAACATCCCATCATCAGCCCACATCACTTCCTGACATGTGGGCAGGTTGGTTCCTCCTCCACCTTTTATGAGCTCAGTAGGCCGCTACCATCCAATCTGATTACTGATCAGCACAAAGTGACTCTGATCACATCAGGAACTTTTTGCACTTATACATGCAAAGTGTCTCCAGTAGAGACTGTACAAGGATAAAACAGAGCTTTTTAACATGTGATAAGTTTTACTACAGGGTGTCTTTTAACCCAAACCAACATCCGTCTCTAAACTTAAGTCGTTTTGGTGCCTAAACAGATGAATGAACAACAGCAAGTAAGATAGTTTGCCTTTTCCACCACTACAGCATTCAAATCTTGACTTAGTTCCTCTGTAGTCGCTACATCACCCCTAATCTGCCTTTAAAAGGGGCAGTAATGGCCTCCAGAGCTACTAGAAGGTAGAATGGATCTGTGCCTGCACACGTGTGGGAATGATGTGCACTGATAACAGCTGTTAATGGTTTGACAGCATCCAAATCAGCTGGCATGTTTTCAGCAATTACCTTTTTTTTTTTGAGTGTAATGATATAATAATCCTAATTTCAGACTATACTATGAAGTTGTAGCAAACTGGATTCCCTTTATTTCATCAGATTTTATTCTAAATAGAAAATGATTTGAAACTTGTCAACACGTTTCTCCCAAAGTTCTGCCCTAAATGCAGCAGCACTCTAAACACCTCCAACGTTTGTTATCAGATCGTCCAGGCCTGAGTAGCGTGGAGCGAATCGAGCGCTGCCAAGAGGAGTTCCTGCTGGCCTTTGAACATTACATCAACTACCGCAAACACAAAGTGGCACATTTCTGGCCCAAGCTGCTAATGAAGGTGACGGACCTGCGGATGATCAGCGCCTGCCACGCCAGCCGGTTCCTCCACATGAAAGTGGAATGTCCCACCGAGCTATTCCCTCCTCTCTTCCTAGAGGTCTTCGAGGACTGACCAATGGATTTCAGTGTATGTGTGTGTGTGTGTGTGTGTGTGTGCATGTGTGTGTGCATGTGTGTATGCGTGTGTGTGTGTGTGTGTGTGTGTCAGCGCCTGGGCACCCTGGTGGTCTCAGGGCTGGAACCAGCAGAAGGCCCATCACAATGAACTTTCTATTAGCACTACTGAGTGTCACTTCATTCCATAGTTTAGGAGTAGCTCTCTGGTCTAGTTTTGGATGAAACCATTCCTTACAGTGCGGGTACATGTGAATAGCCTTTTTGTTTTTGTTTTTTTCTGGTTTGTTTTGTTGTTATTGTGGATATAACCTCTCACCTCGGATTTTACTCTAGGTTTTTTTGTGTTGATGATTGTACAGTTGACATAATGGTGATCTTATCAACACTTGTTCATTCAGTAGAAACCATGCAATTGTTGTATTTTCCTTCCTTTATGTCAAAAAACTCAAAATGGCTGCTCACCTGATACACAGAGTAAGACATTGTCAGTGATCCATTAGCCTTTTCCCCCACCTGCTTGACTTTATTGGACCCGCTTGTTGGTTAATATATTAACTGTCATCCATCCAGTGAGTGTCTGGACTGTTCAGTACTTTACCCATTAACAGCAACACTCGCTCCAGTGGACACCACCTCACAGGAAGTCTCTGGGTAGCCACACATTACAAGGTGAAGTCAGAATGCTGCATTCCAGAGCTGTCGGAAAAATCTGAATTTTGCAGTCGGAGATCAGCTCAAGAGGGAGGTCCAAGCAAGAGACAGTAACTTTTCTTGACATCTATTTGGCAGCACACACTGTTAACACTACAAAACAAGTGTCTTCTGCTTGTTTTCAGGCCTCCAGATACATTTAGCTTTCAGTAAAGTTTGAGCACATACACGCCATTTTGACATGAGTGCTAATGCAGTATGCTAATTGGCTAGCACGCACTATTAACTACCTGGACAATAGTAGTTTTGCACTACAACTGCATATTCAAGCCAGTGTAAAAGAAGAAATACACCAATCTGATCAATAAAACAAGACAGGAGTATATTTTGAAAATCACAAGTCAAATTTTTGAGATTCATTTTGGAAGAGCTGGAAACAGCTGGAAACAGCTGGAAACCAAAGCGTCAAATGAATGTAAAAAACTTTTGTCACACACTTAAGACATATTCAAGAAAAACCTGTTCAGTCACATGGCTTTGCCTCTGAGATGTTGTGTGTTCTCCTAAGAAGAGAGCATCAAACCAAACTCCATTCAAAATCTGCTGATTTAATCACAACCTCAGCGTGCTGTTGAAACGGTCAGATCCACATAAGAGCTTAGACATGAGCACACTCTCAGTTAGAGTTGGCTGAAGAAAATAAGGAATAACAAAAGCCTAAGAGGAGGATATAAAGTCTGCTGAACAGAGGAGTGGAATGACACAAAGGGCTTAAATCATATTGTAGGAGGCGCTAATGTTTGACAGACTGTATGTCTGTGAGCACATATGTGACACGTGTGTGTTGCTTTCACCAAAGCTCGTTCGTGGTAGAGCTGTAAGGACTTGTTGGATTTGTTTTCCGAGCACAAATGACCAAAAAAAACAAAAAGCGAAAGCTGTTATCAGCTTCTCGAATGTTCAGATTTGTGCTTTTCAGACTACTTGTCAGACAGCACAAGACGTGAAGGTGTCGCCTCAGGTTCTGAGAAACCGAGAAGGTCATGTTCTGGCATTTTACAGACTCACAAAAAATGACAATCAACAATAGCATTGGGCAATGAGTCCCACCCACCCTCCAGTGCTTTATGTGTCACAAAAGCAGAGCTGCAATTGTAGATCAAGAGTTATAGTTGATAGACAGACAAATAATCATTCTGATAATCAATTATCATGTTGAGGTCAAGCAAACGTGGCTCCAGTCTGTCTTTTGTTGGGATTTTCTTTGCTGTATTTGACAAAAACTTATTAATCTGTGAAATTTGGAGGATTTGTTGGATCAAATAAATTAATCCAGTTTTATTTATAAGCCCCAATTTACAACATAAGTCAGCTCAGGGCACTTTGCATAGTGATAATATAAAGAAAAACCCAACAACTCCCTTTAAGCAACCTGAAGTCAAAAAAAAAATGTTTTAAAAGGAAGAATCGTCCAGCAGAGCCAGACTCAGGGAGGACAGCCGTCTGCTTCCACCAGTCTGGGTGAAGGGATAAAGAAAAGGGTAGCAAGACACAGACAGACACAAAACAAGAGAATGATAAATGCCATATAGTCACAGAGACACAGAGGACAAAGCACAAACTACAGGAGAGAGAAGACGAGGTTCATGACATGCAGTAGTGACGTGTAGGGATGGAGGGATGTAGGGTGAGAGAGGCGAGTCAAAGAGAGTTGCTCAGTGCATCATGGGAAATCCCCCGGCAGCACAACTACGTCCTAACTCAGTAGTCTGACGACTTCCTCTTCATCAGTGACAAGTAGTAATTCTTCACTGTTCTGCAGCATTGCATGAATCAAACAGTTTATTAAGAGAATAACTGACATATTGCCAATGAAGAGAATTCTGTTTAGTTGTTTTTTTTCCATAGCACTGTTGTATCTGTGCTAAAACTCTATTTGCGTGAAGAAATTTCCATGTTAATTGTTGTTTTTGCCTTTATTTTTACAAGCTGGACCATGACAACACACAAAAGCTGTAATTTCCAACCTGGGGATTCAGACTTGACCAACAGTGACGGGAATGCAGCAGTAGTGTTACAGTGAGCCTGCTCATCATTGCCAGAGACTGGTCAGGACTAACTAAAGCACATAATGGCACTGATGTCATGAAATGACAATCATATAGTACTCGTTTTTGTGTAACAATGCCACATGTTGTGCCAAAACCAAGTGAATGATGCCCTCCTTATTAAACCCCTGCTGGGCTTTCTTAGTGATATCAAAACTTGGCTAACTCTGTTAGTTAGTGCATGCCGCTGACACGCAGTCGTCCCTCTGACTCGTGTTTTAGTCCACGTTAGCAGCTTCAACTATACAACCAGTATGAATTTTCAGTGTTTCATCTCAGCTGTATTGCTTCACAGTCCCACATACAATAACTTCAACTGTTTGTTCGTTTGTTTTTACGCCTCCCTGACACGGGGAGACTGTATGTTAAAACAGTGACGTCATGGTGCTATGGTGGGTTGGGGCAATGGCTGATTGAACTGTATTGTTATTTACATGTTTAAAAAAAACAGCCCACCACCTCTTATGATGGCATGCATATACACTAACACACAGACATGTACATATACAGTACATACAGTATATCTGTACACATACTGCACACATGCACATGTAGGCATGTGCTTGGACAACACATGGGTCGGACCCCACCACTGTGACCACACGGTGGGATTTGCAGGCCAAGTGAAAGTTGGCTGACCCAAAAACAGTATGATTCATCATCAGCAAGGTACACTGAGAGAGCTGGTGAGATTGTGAAAACGTAGCGCTCTGTCCTTTCTTTTATTTTAGCCGGTATGTTCTTCTTTTGTTGTTCTAAACAGCCTGTCTATGGTATTGTTGTTTGCAATATGATGAACATTTGCTTTGTATATCTCGCTTTTTCAAGCTTCACACTATTCCTCAAAGCAGCTTGTGTTTTGTTTGTTTGTTTTTTTTCTCATTTCTGTGAAGTGATGCCTTTTTATCAAAGCAATAGACTTGCTGCAGTGTTTGAATGACCCGGACCTCACACACACACCTCGCAAACTGTACAGACTCAAATAAATGCACAGACAATCAGAGGGAGATAGATGAATGGTAAATGGCGGGGAGGCACCCAGGCTGAAGCGTTCCCCTGTCAGCGTGCCGGGCTGGGCCGAGCCGGGCTGAGCCAGAGCCATTTAGAAAAGTAGCATTGGCCACGTTTACATGCACCCAGTGTTGTCCGCAGTCCTGTCGAGGCCACCGTCTTGTTAAGTTGTGTGCAGGTGCCATCAATAAACCTGTCAACAGAGCAGCCCCGGTAGAAGAGATCCAGTAAAAATCCACATCCCGTCAGCGAGTGCTTTATCTCTGCTTGATTCATGACTTGATCTAAAATGATGCGCAGAAAATGTGAAGTGAATTCAGCCTTTTGTCACAACAGGGGCTGGCTGAACAAACCTGATAGATATTAGAGTGACCCACTGACTGGTTCATAGATGATCTAATGGCGCTTTTCAATCAAACCTCCCAGGAACTAAACTCAGGAACTAAATGAGGACATAGAAAGTCCATTTGGTGCTCTTGTGTTTGCGCTGCCATGCATGTCAAGAACCATCAAGATTACACATTAGCAAATTAGACCTAGAAAAAAACATGAAAATAATCATCAATATTAAAGTGAATTGCTCTTTGCTAAGCGCTGGTCTGCCAGGAACAGCTACGACTGGTCATCATTCTGACTGAAAGCTGTACATGTGCTGTAGCCGGTAGAGACCTGATGCTGTTTTCCTCTGCAGTAGCTCAGGGTCTGTGTGAAGGCAGCCTGAACCTTTGTCAATCTTTCTAAACCCTCTTTCAGGGGAGAAAAAAGTAGTTGGAGAAGACAAACAAACTCAGAGATTTGGGGTCATGTCCAGTAGCTACTATTAGAAGTCAAAGCTATTGGGATGTACATCCCAAAGGAAACAGATTGGCTTAAAGGCCTAATTAGGGGGTTGTTTCCATTAACGTCGCTCCAGCCTCAAGTTCCTGTTGTGGAGCGGCACCTATACAGTTCAGTTAAGTCCACCCCGATAACTGGCTACAATTATCTCCTGGCTCAGGAGCAGGGACTACAAGTGGCTGAACTGTGGCCTGTGAACCACAACTAGAGCGATGCTAAGCTATCAAAATGGAAGCACGACTCTCAAGTTCCTCTAAATGTTTTTCTAAAGCTTCATCAGTTGGCTTTTGTTGGTGGTGTTGTTGTATTGGCCACTAAGGAGCAGAACTCCACAACAAGCTGACAGACAACCTTCACATAATTAATTAACATCAATAATTCATCTGTTTGCAAACAGTATGATAGTGAATATTTACATGTTCACCAGACACAGAGCAGCATCAGTATTCCAACTCCTGAAGGACGTATGTAGCCGTTAACCTGCTGGATGTTCAGATGTCTTCACAGCTAGTTGCTAACTTTCCCTGTTGACGCTGGGGGCTGGTCAGATGAAACATACCGGGTTTACCAGAACTTTTAACGAGAGCAGTGAGAGACAAAGTACTACAAACTATACATATTTAAAATTACAAGACTAATTGAAAAAAAAAGTTCTGTGGAGTTGCAGAAGTGAATATTAAACCTCTCTGGCGAATTCTTGTATGCGAACACTTGACAGTTGTTCGGCGTCCCCGTGGAGGATGCTCATGTCTTCAATCACAGTTAAATCGCTGTTGACCCGTTAAGCCGACCTCATCCAATTCCTTTGACATTCTCCCAGCGCTTCTTCTTTTCTGTAACTTCTCTTTAGTTTTTGCAAATCAGGGTTTGTAGCTTATGTTCATCAGTGGACCTGCAGTGAGAAGCGAACGCTGCCGACCCTGTATTCAGCTCAATTCGGTTTTATTTGGACAGCAGCAATTTACGACAAATGTCATTTCAGGGCACTTCACATAGTAAGGTAAGGACCTTACAAGGGGATTACCAATACCAAGAAATGCCTACATCCTGCTTATAGGCACTCCGAATGACCTGAACCTATGTCCAAGGATCGGCAGGATTAGAGTTTCTTGTAACTGATGATAAAACGTGACTTTTGATTAGGTCTAAGTCGTATATGACACCTGTCTGTGAAGCCAATCCTGGATTTCTCATAGTCAAGGCAGTTCACTGGTCTCCACATCTATCTCCAGTTAGATGGTGCATGTATATAGCCTGTAACGAGCATACAGTCCTTACCCTCCAGGAGTCATGAGGTGGAAAAAATATTCATGTGAAAAAGTGCAGTTTAATAAACCTACAAGTTGTTGAGCTTAAATCTGCTGGTTGGAAAGTATGAGGAAGGTCTGGTTAAAGACAAACTTCAACATGTCTTTTGAGCCTGAAGCTAAGTTCTAAACTTTAATGTGATGAAACACATCGATGTTGCATTTATACCAATTTAGGAAAATCCATGGTTGAACGTGATGTCTAATGTTTTACATCATCCTTGACCTGACAATGCCAATGCTGACATACAGTCCACTGAGTGGGACTTCTGTGTGATGGAACATTTACATATTAAAAAAAATAACTTAGCTCCACCTTATCAGAGGTGAGCAGCCCACCTCCCTCAGCCCCCGTCCTCAAGCTGGAGTCTGAAACTGCACTCACATTTAAATATATATAACAAACCAGATTCATCATTTGTAGGCGTTCACTATGTTTTGCTAACAGTCTGCTTCATGTTTTTTCTGTTTTATTGCAATAGCTGGGACTTGTGTTGTAGAAGCATGACCGGACTGCGTTCTTTCTCTTCAGACTCAAATTTTACCCTCCGTCTGACTAATGTCATATCATCACTCACAGACTGCCCCCTTCCTGTCTTGCACCTGCACTGCCTCGGCTCCCCGAGCTCCGGCTTCAGGCTGGATCTGCTGTAGACAACACACCGACCGATGAGTAGCTTAAACAACCCAACTTCAAAGAAATCAAAATGTCCCTTTAACAAAACTAATCCTAAAGTCTGGACAGTGCTTTACTTATTTAATGGATTCCATGTGTGTGAACAGCTGCACTGTTTACCTTCAAACAATGGATCTGCATGTGTTCTATACATACTACAGCGGGGGGTCTCATGCACACCAGAGAGCATAATGGTTACCTCCAGCTGCTTTGTGTTTCCTGTTTGACGGGACGACACGTAAAAGTCAAAAGTGTAACCAGAATGTGCATAGAACAGGACCAAGAATTTAAAATACAATACTCAAGTACATAAGGAGCAACAACCGAGTGTCCAGTTTATTCCTCTGGCACATGCATCAGCATGCTCACACTGCAGCCTTAGATTTTAGGTCGCATGCGTACGTCCACAGAGGAATACAAGAAAACCCTCATGGACGCTGGTGGATGACAAAGGTGGAATCATTAAATACCCATTAATTTCCAGCTGTGCCTGTTGACAGATTAATATCACTTTATTAATAATTTTTCTTGCTTTATTAATCCATATGATTTAGAAATCAGTTTGTAATAACATTTTGTTTATATGTGTTTTTTCTACCACATGACCCCTGGGAAGCTCTGTACAAAGGAAAAGCCAACGATAGCAGCAGAGTTCTGTCATCGTGGTATTTCAGCTTGATCTAATCGGAACATTTTTACCTGTTTTCCACTGATACTATAAGAGGATTGTTAGCTAAATTAGCTAAACCATGCTACCAAAACTATTAACAGTAACCTAATAGCTGCATGAATCTGTGGTCTGTCTGAAGGTAAGCTGACAAATTCTGGCCATTTCAAATAGTGAACATGTTGCTCCGTTATTTCCTGTTTTTATATGTAGCAGACATAAAGCCACCTTGTGAATGAATTTCTAGTATTAAATCCAATAACAACTTTAGTTCATAACTCCTGGAACAAAACAAATCCATTGTGTCATTCAGTAGTCACTACATGTGTCTCGCCTGTCGGGTGCTGAACAGTTACTGTTCAGATAATTTAACTGAGCTTTTTGCTAAAAACAGCCGCCTGGTAAAGAAGTTGATGAGACAGAACCAAAGCTGTAAAATTGTGCAGTACAACCAAAACAAGGAGCTGAAAGATGCTGAAATGTTCCACAGAGATGAATTCATGATCGTTCTCTGTGGGTCTGTCACAGCGAGTGACCCTCTTCTAGGTCGTCATTTATCTCATTCTTCTTGTAAAATTAATACCTAGAGCCGATTTAATTTTTAAAAATACATTTTGGCCATATTACATCAAAACACAAATTTGAGCCTGAACTCTGTGTAGTCTGTCATATAAATGTTTATGTCTTGCAGGATCCGTACGAACTCGTATGAACTGTCACTTAACCGTAATTACTTGAATGAGCGTATATGCCGAGCCGTTGGTGCATGTAAACATAGTCAATGTTGCCTGCTGGTTCAGAAGACGTTTGCTGTTCCTTCAGTGGTGCCAGTATGCTGTTATCTCTCCCACGAGTTGTTACTCTTAAGGTTACTCAGTTATAAACCAATAACAAGAGTTGCACCATAGAAAAGCTATTTTACAGTACAAAGGAAAAGGATGTATATTTTCAGACTGCAGATTTTTTTTACAGATGTTGTTAGCATAATAGGAACATGATATTGTTTTGCATATTGTTAAAAAAAATACAGTGTCTTGCTCTCAAATCCATTTCCACATCTCTGCAAAAAAAAAAAAAAAAGAACTGAGCAAGACGTAATGAATCGTAACAAACACTTCAATTAGTGCAGCGTTAGTTTTACAATTTAAAAAATAATAATCTACTATTACTGTAGCTGGAACCTCACTGCTACACATGAACACATTTAGGGACAACTTCTTGGTCAAAGTGTAACCAGCATCAGAGAGAAAGTCATCCACCGTCAACACAGATTTCTCTCCTTGTGTGTTTGAGTGTCTTCTTGTTCAACTCATCTGTTCAACACATACTGGAAACCGTCAGAGAGAAAGGGAGTGAGACAAAGTGTATGTAGGTGTAGGAGTGAATCTGTGGCAGCAGAAGGAGAGGATGAAAACATTCTGCTCCAAATACTTGCTATTGTGTATTTTACTGGAGACCTGGTCCAGTGATCCACTGTCCGGCTGTGGACGGTGTTCTGACATGAGCGCGGGGAACTTCCAGAGCAAATGATCTTGATGCTCATGATTGACGATGATTGCGGCTAATGTGAATTGGCTCTTGTGAATAAAGATGGTTTTGAGAGAATTTGGTTTTGTGCTTTTACTATTTTGAATTTCTTTTTAATTACTTGCAAGTAAGTGTCTGTTTTTTTTATCCTTTCTTTCTTTCTTTCTTTCTTTCTTTTCTTTTACCACAGTTCAACGTTTGCTTGATTAAAGAATTTTTGTTCTCAGCGAACTTCAACACTGACAATGTTGTTCACCTCCAAGTGATAGATGTCTTCTTTCACGTCTCTCTGCACTGTGCCCATTAATCCTGAAATATAACTTATTCCCAGGTTAGCTGGTTATTATTCATCATAAGTTACTTTAAGAATATACAGCGTCCTCCAAACATATGTTAACATCCATCCATCCATTATCTATACACCACTTTATCCTCACGAGGGTCGCAGAACGGCTGGAGCCTATGCCAGCTGACTCAAGGTGAAGGCAGGGCACACCTGGGCAGGTAGCCACTATATTGCCAAAAGTATTCACTCACCCATCCAAACAATCAACATCATGTGTTCCAATCACTTCCATGGCCACATGTGTATAAAATCAAGTACCTAGACATGCAGACTGTTTCTACAAACATCTGTGAAAGAATGGGTCGCTCTCAGGAGCTCAGTGAACTCTAGCATGGTCCTGTGATAGGATGCCTCCTGTACAACAAGTCCAGTCATGAAATTTCCTCGCTCCTAAATATTCCACAGTCAACTGTCAGTGGTATTATAACAAAGTGGAAGTGATTGGGAACGACAGCAGCTCATCCACGAAGTGGTCATGGCCACGTAACCTGACAGAGCGGGTCAGCTGATGCTGAGGCACATAGGAGCAGAGGTCACCAACTTTCTGCAGAGTCCATCACTGCAGACCTCCAAACTTGATGTGGCCTTAAGATTAGCCCAAGAACAGTGTGCAGAGAGCTTCATGGAATGGGTTTCCATGGTAGAGCAGCTGCATCCAGGCCATACATCACCAAATGCAATGCAAAGCGTCGGATGCAGTGGTGGAAAGCAGCCGCCACTGGACTCTAGAGCGGTGGAGACACGTTCTCTGGAGTGACGAATCACACGACTCCATCTGGCAATCTGATGGACCAGTCTGGGTTTGGCGGCTGCCAGGAGAACGGTACTTGTCTGACTGCATTGTGCCAAGTGTAAAGTTTGGTGGAGGGGGGGTTATGGTGTGGGGCTGTTCTTCAGGAGCTGGGCTTGGCCCCGTAGGTCCAGTGAAAGGAACTCTGAATGCTTCAGCATGCTGAGAGATTTTGGACAACTCCATGCTCCCAACTTTGTGGGAACAGTTTGGAGATGGCCTCTTCCTCTTCCAGCATGAAGGTGCACCAGTGCACAAAACAAGGTCCATAAAGACATGGATGAGAGAGTCTGGTGTGGAAGAACTTGACTGTCCTGCACAGAGTCCTGACCTCAACCTGATAGAACACCTTTGGGATGAAGTAGAGCAGAGACTGAGAGCCAGGCCTTCTGGTCCAACATCAGTGTGTGACCTCACAAATGAGCTTCTGGAAGAAAGGTCAAAAATCCCCATAAACACTCCTAGACCTTGTGGACAGCCTTCCCAGAAGAGCTGAAGCTGTTAAAGCTGTTAAAGCTGCAAAGGGTGGACCGATGTCATATTAAACCCTCTGGATTAAGAATGGGATGTCACTTCAGTTCATATGTGAGTCAAGGCAGGTGAGCGAATGCTTTTGGTAATATAGTGTATGTTCACAGTAGAAATAAATGTGTTTTTTTCTACTTTATTTAGATTGAAATCATTTCACGTCAATGAGACAAAAGTATAAACCGGCACTCAGCTTGTAGTTCATGCTGTTTAAAGTGGGATGAAGAAGAAAGAAAGATTTTTGATTCTGAACTATCAGACTGAAGCAGATTAGTCATCGTGACCATGTTAACGTCTTTGTACAAACATCAGATTTCCTTAAGTTGTATTCTTGATCGTCTCATTTTAGACTTGGTCCTCTTTATGAACCTGTTGACCTGAAATATGACTGAGCCTCAAGTTTGCAGCAAGACATTGCTCACAAGCAGCACTGTGATGGTGGGAAACATGAATGAATGTGTCCGAAATCAGTTTGTTTTCAGAGGGTGTGAAATCATGGCCGGACTGAAGGCTTCTAAGGAGGCAGTGCATGGAGCTCTCACACACTCTGTGGAAACTGGATCAGCTGTATCTATAACAGGATCAGGCAGACTGAATGTGAGCGTATCGTCTTTGTCCACTGAGTGATAGAAAAAAATGCTTTATCACAGAAAAACTAAATCAGCAGAAGTTCTGACTCATCCTGCAGCAGGAGCTCAAACACACCTCAGAGCTTTGACTGGGAGACTAAAGGAGGCCAGAAGTGCTGGACTTTGCTCCACAGTCCTTGAACTCAACCCCAGTGATCATTCATGGGGAGCATGAAGACTAAGAAAGCCAAAAATTCCTGATATGACAAGAGACCGTTTGCATCATCGTTACATCATGTTGAGATAACACGACTTATCAGGTTTAAACAACTGGTGACTCCATGTAGCTGCAGTGCTGCTGGCTTTAAAGCAAAGGACGGACAAACAACATCAGATGGATAATTCATTTAAATTCACAGTTCCAGCTCTACATAGATATTGTTAGGCAGCTAATATTATTTGTAATAAAACTTAAAGCATTAATTAGAATCCCAGGCAGACATTTTCAATCATTGTCTCGCACTTTGGAAACACTCCAGTTTTTGGAGAACTATACTCAAACAACAGTTTGCATCAGTCTTTATGGATGATGACATTTTGTTCAACCAACAAACTACACTCCATCAGGGCAATTAGCTTTTCCTTTACTATTTATAATATTTTTTACGACCCATTGCCCAATGATTAGTCGCATTACCGCAAGATTTTAAGTTTCTTACTCATACAAGGTCCGTTGTTTCAACGAGTTATTTTCATGGTATTTAAAAGACATTTTTAAGTTTTATGTGCTTATTTACAATAATTCTGAACACAAGATTTTAAGTTGGCAAATTTAAAACAATTAAGTTACTCCAGGATTGAGTCGATAAATTCTGACCTCAAGGTAAATAATTTTAGTTCCCACGACTTGAATTTAGTTTTAAATCAATTAACGCAAGAAATTTAAGCTTAAGTCACACAAAGTATAAAGCTGATTCAACATTGCTATTTGATTAAATCCCTGTTTAATGGGCAATTTAAACACATCTTCCATCATCCTGGTCCTTCAACAAACTTTAGTGTCAGACTGATGATTCACACACCAACACGTCCTGAAAGTTTATGTGTGAGAGATCAGTGCTGAACCGACGTCTTGTGATATCAGCATGCGTGTAGCTTTGCTTCTCTGTTTGTACTCTCTGTTTAAAGCAGGTTAATGTGGGCAGATGTCACATTTGATTCTTTAGATTTAAGGCCATAAATATGTACTAAACTATTTCCCTCAGACACCATTCTGGTGCTCTGTGAAGCCTTGTGAGCTGAAATTCTATTTTGGTTTCCAAAGCGAACATCCGGCTGCAGTTGGCATGACAGTGAACGGACAGAGTGGAAGCTGCTCTGTTGCCATCTGCTGATGGATGCTGACACTACCACAGCCACACTGCTGATGAGCTTTAACTCCTCACAGCTTCAACTTTGTGCATCATCTTGGTTATAAACCTCCTGTAACTATGTTCATTTTCACTGTTTCTATTCCACCTGATTTGCAGCTCTGACGTAAAAATTACAAAACTTTTAAGCATATATCCAGACTATAGTCAAAGCCTTGCATGCCTCAGGCAATGCTGCACAAGCCTCTCAATATGTTCTTTTATTTTAGGCTGACTCATACTCACGGCCCTGAGTTACATCTATTCATGCCCAGTTTCTTGTGTCCAATGGCCCATTCATACAAGTGTTTGGTATGAAAGTAGCACAAAAACAGTGACAGTGGAAACTGGCATAGCTTTTACTCATACATTTATTTTGAATTAAACCCAGGAAACAAGAATTTTGTTTCTTCAGTTATGGAGGCCATTTAGGATCCAAAAGCTGTGTCTAGCTTTCCTGCTCCTCCCTCAGAGCCACATGTATACATAGTTATTCTAAGCAGGTCTGAGTCCTGTGCTCACGCTGGAAGGGGCACAAAGCTGAGAGTTCTGGGTAATCTATAATGACAAAGTGAAAACATGCTTTTAGACATATTTGCAAATTTATGAAAAAAAAATCTGGATTAAATCTCTCATTTACTGTAATATTCAGACTTGTAATTCAGTGCTTTGTTGAAGCCACTTAGGCAGCAGCTACAGCTTCAGTTCTTTTTTGATAAGTCTCTTCAGGTCTTTGCACACCTTGATTTGTGCAGTTTATCCTCTCAAGCTCTGTCATATTGGATGTACAGTGTCTGTGAACTGCCGTCTTCAGATAACTCCAGACATTTTGGTGAGTTTAAGTCTAGAATTGGAGACTTGCCCTGAAGACGCTCCAGTGTTGTCTTGACTGTTTGCTTTGGGTCATTGTTGTGTAGACAGATGAATCGTTGTCCCAGTATCAAGTCTCTGCGCTGTGGAAGTTCTCCTCTAGGACCACTCTGTATTTGCCGCATTAATCCTTCCCTCAGTTCTGCTTTTGCCTCTGAGAAGCAGCCCCACAGCATGATGCTGCCACCACCATGTTTTACTGTAGGGATGGTATTACCAGATGATGAGCAGCAACTTGTGCTCAACAGACATCGTGCTTGGAGTTCTGCTTCACTTTTGGTCTAATCTGACCAGAGGACCTGGTGGCCAGTTGAAGAATCCTGGTGATTATAAATTTCTTCCATTTTACAGTTATGAGGCCATGTGCTTGCAGCACTTCCTCGATGCTTTTATACTCTTGCCCGATCTGTGCCTCGCCACAATTTCATCATGGAGGCCTACAGAGAATTCTGTGGACTTCATAGCTCAGTTTTGTCTTGACATGCGAGTGAATTGAGGGATCCTTTATCAACATGTGCGCCTGTCCAGTCATACATTCAGTTTAGATTCACTGCAAAGGGTCTGAA